CACGGATACCACGAGGAGCGTTTTCAGAAATGTATAGGGGGACAACCATGGATGCGCCTCCGACACCGAGACCAGCGATGAAGCGGCCCACGTACATGGCTGCGAGGGAACCCGAGGCAACGGCTTGGATTACGCAACCGACAATGGTGATGAGACCAGCTGCTTGGAGTGCAAGCTTACGACCCCAGCGGTCAGCGGCCCAGGAGGCGATAAAGCAACCGAGGAAACATCCAGCTTGAAGGGTCGAAGCAATGTTGGCGCTTAAGTTGGCCTTGCCGACTTTGTCGAGACCCTCAATCTTGTACTTACTATTCATCCATGTTAGCCTTTTCGACGTCACCAAGAACGTGAGTATTGTCGAGGATGGCAACGTACTGTTGGAATTCCTTTAATTCAAGCACACCTCCAATTGTTCCAATATCGAAACCAAACAACATGCCACCGAAGCAGGCAGAGCCCGCCATGGCAAAGGCACGCCATCCGTAGATCTGATGGGGATCAGACTTGATGGAGTCGTTCTTGACAATCATGCGGATGAACCTGGCGCCCGCCGATGGGGGAGTGTCGGATGGATCCATGATAGATGGATGATGTTGGTGTGCAACGGTCGTCAATCAGGGCAGATGGTGATATAGACGTTTCGATCTTATCAACCCACACTCTATCCTGACCCAAGACGTTCAACGCAAACGAGGCCGGCAAGAGGTCAAGAGGAGATCAGCAAAGTCTCCACAGCACAGGGTGAACGATCAAGAAAACCCCCGGTGGGATGCGTGCATGGCCTCACTATATAAACCAGCACAGGATATGCGGTCCATGCGCTATCCTGGCATCGTTAGCTCGCTCCTCAACACCGGGGTAAGAACAGCGTTGCAAGACGCCGCGGGCTTTGTGCAGAAATCCTTCCTCTTGGGCGGGGGGCGCGCCCGTTGGTCCATAGGGCACAAACCTCAGGCTAACTGTAGGAACCCCAGACTGCTGGTCCCTCCCCCAGGACCGGATCCCATGATGGCCCAACACGAGCGACACCTCCACGCTCCCTTCTAACCGATATCCCATATTCTCCCTCCAACCTAGAGACCGAGTAGGCAAGGCGAGGGACCAAAGCTGCATTGGTGTCGTCTGGGCGAATAAGCTTAAGCATCATCGAGCTGCCGTGCAATCACTCCAAATTGAGGACGCACGGTGATGCTTAGCACTTGGCACGGCGGAAAGCTTGCAGTGGGATTAGTGGAGGAAGTGAATGTCCGTCTTGGAACCTGCCAAGCCCCCATACTGCACTTCCCTTCCTCTGCCCACTCACACACACAACCGGGTGGATGGGCGGCTTGCGGAATCAGACTACTACTACTCATCATCGGACACCGAATGCCAAGACGTCGCTGCACATCTACTACTAGTGGAAAAGACAATCCGGGGGTGAAGATTCCCCACTAATCTCAAAGGCTGGGGTCGAGGTGGCCGTGTCCCGCTCCCCCCCTTGCCGTGTTCGAGGCGCTCAAACCTGACCCCCGCTTGCAGAAGACGCTACGGTTCCTTTGCCCATATTAATCCGCGTATTGGAGCGACGAACGCTCCGCGATCACACCGACACGTGATGCGTTCGTCGCCACGCAGAGCATAGTGTGGGGTTGAATGCGTGAGGGCTGTGAACTCTGTGTATGGTGGGGAATTATATCGTCAATCCCTCCATGGTGGGGGAAAGGATCGTGGAGAAAAAAGAGGCGTTCTGTCGGAGGAAAAAAAAATGGAAAGCTGAGCGTCCACTAGCTGCTACGAAAGTTTATTTTTGACTTTTTCTTCTTCTTGGATTGCTACTAGTAATGTCAGTTTGCAAATTGCACATGTGTCAGATAGACACTAGTATTACTACTACAAAGGTAACGAATGAAATACATGAGCGGAAGCAATCCCCAGGCTTTCGTAATCGTAAGCAGCCTCTATGTCACGTCAGCGGCGAATAAAAGCATGCTTGTCCTCTGTGTTGTACACTTTTTGGTGCTCTTCAACAGCAAACATGATTTTATTGGCTTGGATTCCTTCCCCCCGCCTTTGCCGCATTCGGAGCAGGAACGATGGGCTCTTCAGGCTGTTTAGGCAAAAGTAAGAGTACACTTCGTGACAATGTTCGTGCGAGGTTCCCGAGGTTATCTCTTCCCAGCATACGTGTACCACGTAAGTCAATAATTAGTATGAATACTGCTGCTGCTCTCTGAATGCGCTTTCACGTAAACCCCTCCAAGTCCCAACGAAAGCAATACCGCGGCATTTGGTTGCGGCACGCCACATACACATCAATATCTTCGTTTGACAGGTGCGTCCAAAACAAGCTTTCTTGCCTTATCGCGCCCAATCCGCGGCTCGCATATTCTGCCGTCTTGGTTGTTTCTGGGCATTGCGGGTACATTTTCCACACGGCAGCCAGCCTGACATCAGCATAGCTCACGGTAATCTTGTCTGTATACTTACAGCCAAGAAGATCAAACGACTTGAATCTGAGTCAAGCGCATCATTCTTGCACCCGTGCAAAGGGCGGTCGTTGTACCCAAGCCTCGTTCCAACGCACGTTTGCACCACTCGCCGCTGACATTGGTGTCCCGTCCTTGCCGAAAGCTCCCAAGCTGTCTAGGCCTTGAACCAAAAGGTACCAGCCACTTACGGAAGCGGAAGAAAGAAGAAGAGGAAGGAAAGCACGTGTGCCCAGTCTTTACATCTTACACTGTAGAACACGGAGAAAAACAAACAAACAATAAAATAGCGACGGAAGAATGAGCGCCACAACGGCAAACAATAACCGGGCCTTTGACCTCCATCCTTTCTCCACGAATCCCTTCAAGTTACGCAATGATGTCGTCGACGCTGTAGCATCTCTCCTCGACCCCCTTGTCCCCGGATTCTCGCCGCAAAATGCTTTGATCAGGGTAGGCAGTACCGGCACGCGCTTTGACGAGACAGGTGCTCAGGTCGAGGGCTTTGCGCGTCCGCTATGGGGTCTCGCGCCACTACTAGCTGGAGGCAGCAAGTACGCTGCCACCGACAAGTTTGTCCAAGGCCTGATTTCCGGGACTGATCCTGAGAGCCCGGAGTTCTGGGGCTACATGGAGGATACCGATCAGCGCATGGTGGAGGCGTGTCCGATTGGGTTTACGCTGGCAGTTGCGAACAAAGAGTTTTGGGAGCCGTTGACGGAGCGGCAGAAGAAGAATGTCGAGACGTGGTTGGGGAGTATGAATGATAAGAAGATGCCGGATACGAACTGGTACGATGACCCGATTGTTTTTGTTTGTATATCCATGTTGGTGATTATTTTGTGACTGCAATTGATGTTGAGACGTTTGATAGGCTTTGGTTCCGCGTCTTTGCCAACCTAGGACTTGAGAGGAATGGCGCTCAGTGGTCGAAATCGCAGCTGGAAAAGGATATCAAGCAGCTGAATACGTACTATCGTGGCGATGGCTGGTCAAACGATGGTCCCGATACATATCGTCAGATGGATTATTACTCGAGCTCCTTTGCGATTCAGTATCTACAGCTTCTCTATTCGAAACTGGCTGCAGACATCGACCCCGAGCAGGCTGAAGAGTACAAGAAGCGGGCCCGCATGTTTGCTCTCGACTTTGTACACTTTTTCGACCCAGAAGGTCGTGCCATTACGTTTGGTCGCTCACTGACATACCGCTGGGCCATGGTGGCCTTCTGGGGCGCGATTGCGTTCGCTGACCTCGAACTGCCCGAGCCCCTTAGCTGGGGCGTAGTCAAAGGTATCTGGTTGAGAAACCTACGGTGGTGGACAACCCAGCACGACATTTTCCAATCCAACGGCATGCTCACTGTTGGCTACTCGTACCCCAACTACTACCTGGCTGAGAACTACAACTCGCCTCAATCGCCTTATTGGTGCATGCTCGCCTTTGCCTGTCTGGCCGTGCCAGAATCTCACCCGTTTTGGAGTGCAAAGGAGGAACCGCATCCATTTGCCAATACACGCGTGGTGCGTCCCCTCCCACACCCTCGTCAGATTGTGTGCCGGTCTGGAGGTCACACTTTCCTGCTTTCAAGCGGACAGTCGTGCCACTACGCCATTAAGAACAGCAACGCCAAGTACGGCAAGTTTGCCTATAGCGCAGCCTTTGCATACTCCGTGTCGACGGGCTACCAAGAACTGGAGCAATTCGTACCAGAGTCACAAATTGCCTTTTCTGACGATGGTGGTGAGCTTTGGAAGATGAGAAGGGCACTGAATGGAGACTCTCAGATTGAGAACATAGACGGGGTCCCGGTGTTGGTTAGCAGCATGAAGCCTTGGCCCGATGTTGAGGTTTCGACGTGTTTGATCCCGCCAGCCGAAGAGACGCCAAACTGGCATTTGAGGGTGCATCGGGTGACGTCAGGGCGGGATATCAAGAGTGCAGAGGGAGCATGGGCTGTGTATGGTGCGAGGGAGTCCGATGGCCGTCTTTTGACGGAATGGAACGGCACACTTCGCACACTTGATGCTTCGATACCAGAGGGCGGTGCTTCAGATGACACATCTGCTTTCGCAGCCTCGCCTCGTACGGGCGCTGTGGGCATCGTGGATCTATATCAGCAGAACCGACAAGGCAGTGTCATTTTGTCAGACGCCAACTCAAATCTTGTCGAGAGCAGGACTGTGCTGCCGATTGTGCAAAAGGATATCAAAAAGGACGAGACTGTATGGTTCATCACTGCTGTATTTGCGATGCCAGCGAGCAAGGAAGGATGGAGGGAGAGCTGGAAGGCAGGCTGGGAGAAGCGGCCAGCGGTGCCCGAGTGGGTGAAGAGCAAGATAGGGGGTCAGTAGCTTGAGGGTGATGTTTGATGAGTCACGTGGCAATTAGAGTGTCGGTCTGCCCCAATGGTGGATTCGTGCCAATGACGAATAGCATTACAATATGAAGTACTATGTGGTTTGCATCAGCTATTCACAGAGACAATAATAGCTTGCCGCCTGCCCTGGCGATGATGTTGAAGTAAGGGCGATGCAGAGGCGGCAGTTGAGAGGCGGAGTAGGCGCCCTCTTCAGCGGCTGTATATTCTTGGTGTCATCTGTGCCCCACCAGTCCCCGTCGCGTTTGCTGCATCGAGTCGTGTCACTGTATTCCAATAGTAAAGACGAATTTCTCTCGCTGTTGTTATCGTCTTCCGGCCCTTCTTTAGCAGCTCTCGCCGCTCATCCTTATCTGCGTCCTGTCTTCTTTTTTCTCCCCACACCTGCTGCATACTGTCAAGACGGCTCCTCCAGCCCCAGCCCCCGACGCTGCCCGCTCCTCTCGCTCTTCTTCGCCACTGCGCATTGCCAGCCAACTGACAACGGCCTCGGCCATCCTCTGGGACCCCAAGTTTACATCGCGAGCGCCTCCGGGCAGCCTCCACCCCGTCCACGCAGGCACTCTCGTCCCCCCGCACCGCACAGACTCGTCCATCAGCGTCCGCAACCTCGGCGACGGTGACGCCAACGGCGACACTACGCCCATCGTGCCCACTATGGATAACCGAAGACACCCCAGCTCCTTCCAGCAGCTTGAGAAGCTTGGAGAGGGCACCTATGCCACGGTAGGCCGCCACTATACCATGCGGTCCCCCCCGCTCTCGGACGCCTATGCTAACTCGCCCAGGTCTTCAAAGGCCGCAACCGCCAGACGGGCGAGCTCGTCGCCCTCAAGGAGATTCACCTCGACTCAGAGGAGGGCACGCCCTCGACGGCTATTCGTGAAATCTCCCTCATGAAGGAGCTGCGCCACGAGAACATTGTCCTGCTGCACGATGTCATACACACCGAGAACAAACTCATGCTTGTCTTTGAATTCATGGACAAGGATCTCAAGAGGTACATGGACTCACGCGGCGACCGAGGTGCTCTCGATCCAGCCACCATCAAGTCGTTCATGTACCAGCTGCTCAAGGGAATTGCCTTTTGCCACGAGGCCCGCGTTCTCCACCGCGATCTAAAGCCTCAGAACCTGCTGATCAACAACCGCGGACAGTTGAAGCTGGCCGACTTTGGTCTTGCCCGCGCTTTTGGAATTCCAGTCAACACCTTCTCCAACGAGGTCGTGACCCTATGGTACCGTGCTCCCGATGTCCTGCTCGGCAGTCGCACCTATAACACGAGCATCGACATTTGGTCAGCTGGCTGCATCATGGCCGAGATGTACACGGGCCGACCCCTCTTCCCAGGAACTACCAACGAAGACCAGGTCCAAAAGATCTTCCGACTAATGGGCACGCCGTCTGAACGCTCATGGCCAGGAATTTCACAGCTGCCCGAGTACAAGAACAACTTCCCCGTCTACCACACCCAGGATCTGCGCCTTATCCTGCCACAAGTCGACCAGGTTGGGCTTAACCTGCTCAACAGTATGCTTCAACTCCGACCAGAGATGCGCATATCTGCCGCGAATGCCCTTCAGCACCCATGGTTCAACGACTTGCCGCAACGTCAACAAGAAGTCGCCCAGATGCAAGCCCAGGCACATGCCCAGGCACAGCAGGCTCAGATGGGTGGCGGCTACCAAGTACCTCAGAACGCCTACTAGCAGCAATGCGTACTCCTAGACAGTATGAATCCATATGAATATGAGTTGGCACCTCGATGCACACGCGGAAACTGGGTGGTAAAGGAGAATCCCCGCGTTTTATTTGCAACTGCATGTTGCAGCAAGATACCACATTACCAATCTAAACAAGACGCATACAAGTATGAAGGTTGTTTACACCTGTGGAATGGGACCACATACGTGACATCACAGCGCACACTCTTCAGGCTCCCGTACTAGGAAGACGGTATGCGCTATGTGTCCAACAGTCACTGTTATGTCAAATCATCCTGCCAGGCACCGCCGCCTCCCTTTTTGCGTTTGGGAATTCTCTATGTATGGAATGGCGCTACATTCATGCCTTATGCGAAGCCATGGGTGCCTCGGACTTTGGAATCTGAGACCCTGAATAATCGGCTTCCCCTTTATTGATGGGCTACTAGCGGGGGGAATGAATTAATTGCATGAACGACTTCTTCTTCTTCTGATCTTGATATATCATCGTTGTGTGATCTTTGGGTAATCGGTGTGTGAATAATGATTTTATATCTTGTGACTGATATTGTCTTTGTCAATTTATACCCTTTTTTCCCCGCTTGAATATCATGAATTCAATAAAGCGACGAGAAAAAAATACATATGCAATTGTTTTCTGTGTGGACTTGATTTTTGATATAAGAAAAACATTCTTAGATATCTGGACTTGAGGAGGAAGTTAGCTAATGAATCCTAATTTCCTATGAGACACACACACATACATATATACATGCACACACGCAACCACATTTACCCCTTCTATCCTTTACTTCTGCAACTCGATCGACTACAAGTAGTAAAGATTACGTACTTAACCGCCTCTTGAAGTAAATTCTACTGTATTACAATGTTATAATAATGTTTGAAGGGCAGCAGATTAGACACTGTGGCTGTGTTTATATTCCTCATAAGAACGTCACTCCACTGCATAAAATACCCCCCCCTTCTCTCTATCTGAGGTTATGAATCCCAACCTCTTACTTGTAAGGACTAATATCCGCTCAACAGGGTGTATATTCTTTTTTTTTAATATTCCGCATCTATCATATCCGATTATTGTTTCTTGGGAAAGGGGGAGGAATGACTTGATGTGTAAGCACTTATATCAGAAATTGCAAGAACTAGGTTTAGGTATCTTTCTATTGTAGTTTCTACTGGATTTCTTTTTGAAATGGTATGTACTAAAAGGCAAGAAATATTATGTTGGATACTTTGATCTTGTTTACGTGGGCACTTGTGTTAGCTTTCCTTGATACTATTGTGTCACCCTCTACCTAAAACAGAAGAAAAGAAGAAACATACTTGGGGTGTAGGAATAGGAAAGGCGGTGGTAAGTGGGATGTAAAGGCTTCCGGCGAGAGGAGAAGTGCTAGGTTTAGATGGATGTATAGTAAGGTACTAGAGATGGAAAGTACCAACACAGGACTGTCATGAGAGCGAACATGGGATAATACGGTCTTGAATTGGATTTACCTTTGAATAGGTAAGGAGGGAGTTTAACTGTTTAGTGATACAAAAGAGACGAATACCACTTACAGTGCCTGATGATTCCTTATCTCCCTATTTGAAAAAAATTCCTCTGCGAAAGAAGATGAAGAAAAAATCAGCTCCTAAGGGTCGTTTTTCTCTCTCCTCCCTTTCTCATAACGAAAGACGATGACTACCAAGCTATTCATGTTCATCCGGCAATATACATATATAGAAAACCGCAGCTTCCTCTACATACACAGAAAAAAAAGCTTTCAAGGATCAAAAAAAAAGAAGAAAGAAAGTATCTCATTCTCCTTTTCAAGACTTCTCCAGTATTTGTTCGAAACCTCCCCCTTTTAATATATTTCTGAGACTCGGAATGAACAAAAGGGAAACCCCCCCTTCCCTTCCCCTTCCACCAAGATTTTGGTGGCAAAAAAAGAGAGAAGCTCTCTTGATTTCTATTTTTGTTGTTTCTCCCGTTGAAAAAAAAAAGGTAGAGATAAATTGGGCTGAGACATAATACGAAGCTATTATTCATGGGAATGCATGGTTTCTTGGTACTGGTAACTGTGTTCCGCGGACTACATAATTTTTTTGCTCCGTGGAACGGTTCGTGTATTGTGTATGCGGGGTAAAATGGCTCTGATTCTGATAGATTGATGAATGTTGAGTCTAGATCTAACGGCCTTTTTTTTTCTTTGCAATAGTTTTCTGTAATGGTGTTGTCGCGGGTTGTTTGAGTGCTTGAAAGTATTTTTTGCGTGGTTGTTATCTCCATTGTTGCCTTTGAGAAAGACAACAACTTGATTGTCACGCAGTCAAGTGATTTCCTTTCCGTAATACAAATGAACGATTGACCAAGTAGACATCTCAACTTGCATGCCTATCCATAGTCCAAGACTTAATCAGCACTCATATCTCACACCACTTAAGTATCTAGTCATCAAAAAACCCTCCTTCCCTCCTAGTTCACTACACTACACTACATGCTGGCCACTCCAACGCCAAATCACCCGCCTTACTCGCTAGACCACATATCTGCAGCTACAGCTACACTGCATTTAGGCATGCATGCGTGCGTCCAAATTTGGATCCCGCACTTGCCACACACACACACACAGACATGCCGGATGTCAGATGTCCGCGTGCGCGGGCGATGGCGTTTTGCGCCACGAAGCTAGGTCTCTCGTACGTCGAAGCTAAAAGGCGCCACGCTGGCAGTTTCTCGCCCCAATAAAAGACATGTGAAGCGATAGAAGGAAACAAGAAGGGAAGGGAAGGCGGAGATACGCGCCAGTCAGCTTTTTTTTATTCGGGAGGAGGTATGTATGATTGGAGGGGGAGGGATAAGCGGATTTACCAAAGTGGTGTGGGGATTCTTTTTTTTTCACGAGCCACAGTGTGATGTGATATGGTGAAATGATGCAGGTAGAGTTTTACTGCTATACGAAAGACACAATCTGATTGGATGGAATAACCAAAATGATTGAGCATGAGCATGGTTCGACGACTCAAAAGGCTATGCTGTTGTGGGTATCCTACACTCTACATGCATGCATGACGCTTCGAGTGCGGCACCGCATGCGGTAGATGGTGTGTAACGTAGTTTACAAGCGAGTGACGCGTACAAGCGAGTGACGCACCCCACCAACTTTGCGCACCTCTCAAGCCATATAACTCAACAACACAATAGTATAATATATAGAAAGTGATAAGGTAGATTAATTACTAGCTAGAGTATCTTTCTTACATGTACG